GGAAACTGTTTTACATTTTTAACAGCTGCCATTATTCAAAATAATATCCCTAAACATTATTTCAAGTGAAATTGTTCTAAACAGAGTGATTTTAAGCAATACATTAAGATTTTAGAGGATATGTTTATTAGGAAAAACTATCCTAAGGATCTTTTAATGTGGTTAAAAATGAAATTGCTTTGATAGAAAATCAATATTGAAACCAAAAGAAAGCACAAAAGAGAATTAACCCCTTAGCGACCCAGGACGGTTCAGGACCGTCATCGGCATTTTTGCCTTGAGGACCGATGACGGTCCTGAACCGTCCTAACGGTTTCCGTTACTTACCTGATCGCCGTCGTTCCCCCGGAGGCGATCAGCGTTGCTCCGGTTGTGGGGAGACTGCCTGCAGCCCAGACAGTCTCCCCACACTGAATTAGGACCCCTGTGGCCATGTGATCGCTTAACACAGCGATCACATGGTCACAATAGGTGTCCATGTGTCTGCCTGCAGGGGGACTGCCTGTGCTGACAGGCAGTCTCCCTGCTAGTGTAAAATCAGAAAATAAAATAAAGTTAATGTTAATTAAAAAAATAAAATAATTATATATGTGTATATATGATATATAGACATATATTATATCTATATAATATATGTCTATATATCATATATATAATGCCATACTAAGTGTATTTTTATATTAATATGTACTTATATTAATATAAAAATACACTTATAATTAAATTACACACGTATATATATAATATATATAATAACTATATATATTGTATATATATATTATTATAAAATATAAATAATAAGTAATTTAAATTAAATAAATTTTTTTTAAATAATAATAAAAATTTAAAAAAAATTATATAGCTATATGAAATTTTATTCTAACTGTATTTTAAAATTAATATATATATATTTATATCAAAATACACTTAGAATGAATTTGTATATATATCTATGTATATAAAAATAAATAAAAATAATAAGAAATATACATATGTCCATATACAAAATTACATAAATAATTATATAAATATACACGTAGACTTCAGATATATAAATATGCATATATATTTAAATTCTACGTGCGTATTTATGTAATAGTTTTACATAATTCAGTAATTTTATTGATTGCAATTTAAGGGACCTGCCTGCCAACCCAGGCCGAAATTCCAGAGAATTTAATTTGCTAGCACTGTATTTTACCCTGTAACGTTCTACGACACCCTAAAACCTGTACATGGGGGGTACTGTTTTACTCGGGAGACTTCGCTGAACACAAATATTAGTGATTCAAAACAGTAAAACATATCACAGCGATGATATTGTCAGTGAAAGTGACTTTTTTTGCATTTTTCACACACAAACAGCACTTTTACTGATGATATAATTGTTGTGATACGTTTTCCAGTTTTTAAACACTAATATTTGTGTTCAGCGATGTCTCCTGAGTAAAACAGTACCCCCCATGTACAGGTTTTATAGTATTTTTGAAAGTTACAAGGTCAAATATATGGGTCAAATATTTTTACATTGAAAATGGCCAGGTTGGTTACGTTGCCTTTGAGAGCGTATGGTAGCCCAGGAATGAGAATTACCCCCATGATGGCATACCATTTGCAAAAGAAGACAACCCAAGGTATTGCAAATGGGGTATGTCCAGTCTTTTTTAGTAACCACTTGGTCACAAACACTGGCCAAAATTAGCGTTCAATTTAGTTTTTTTACTTTTTTCACACACAAACAAATATGAATGCTTACTTTGGCCAGTGTTTTCGACTAAGTGGCTACTAAAAAAGACTGGACATACCCCATATTGAATACCCTGGGTTGTCTACTTTAAAAAAAATATGTACATGTGGGGTGTTATTCAGAGATTTATGACAGATAATAGTGTTACAATGTCACTATTGATAAATTTTAAAAATTTATGTTTTGAAACCGCAATATTCTACTTGTACCTATAGCCCTATAACATGCAAAAAAAAGCAAAAAAGCATGTAAACACGGGGTATTTTTAAACTCAGGACAAAATTTTGAATCTATTTAGCAGTTTTTTTAATTCGCTTTTGTAGATGAGTAAAAGATTTTTCAAGTAAAAGTCAAAAAACATGTATTTTTTTCAATTTTTCATCATATTTTTTTATTTTTTTTAAATTAAAATACATGAGATTATATAAATAATGGTATGTAAAGAAAGCCCCTTTTGTCCTGAAAAAAACAATATATAATTTGTATGGGAACAGTAAATGAGAGAGCGGAAAATTCCAGCCAAACACAAACACCACAAAAGTGTAAAAATATGCCTGGTCGCAAATGTACAACATCGCAAAAACAGTCCAGTCCTTAAGGGGTTAAAGAAATGACTTTCAGCATGCTGTTAGAACATAGATCTTGTACGGCTATCAGACTGAATGGGATGAGAGCAAATCATTCCAAAATGGATGCCAGCCTCAAGCTCTTTGTGAATGAATAAAACTCCACGTGTGTGTGTTTATCTTTTCCAATTAACTTTCCCTATGTGATGCAGGATGGGAGTTACATTCCCGTGTCTAAATTAGGAGGCAGTGATATTTAATCCTAGCCTAATCTGTGATTCAAGGAGAGTTGGGATGCACCCATTGAACACACAGACATTAAAAACTTTTTTGATTCTGGTAATTTACATATAGGAGGGTTGAGCCTGTAGGTTGTGCCTGTAGTTGTGTTGTAGGGTTACCTGGTCTATACATACACAGCCATCCCCTTCCTCTGGGCAGATACTTGCTGATTCAGTACAGAACCATCTAATACTGGTTCAAAGGTCGTCAACAGAAACTAAACTCCAAATAAGCTGATCTTGGCCACCTGTGGTCCACGCAAGTATTAATTTTACCTCACTTAAGGAAAGAACAGCAGCCTCTCTCACAGCTCACGGGGCCCAGCTGCGGCTTTTCCTGTTGCGGTTCTCGCTTTTTTTTTGCAACAAAACTGTAAGTTTGTTTGTCAGCCTGCATTGGGCCATGCTATCACTGACATTCCACTTGTATTAGGCTGACATTCACCCTTCTACTAGCTATACAGGATGTACATATTGGGGGTCTACTAGCTATACAGGGATTCTTGTATTGTTTTCCATTTCTTTGTATTGTAGGAGCCTTTCCTGTGGTGTTTTTAGTGCTGATTTTTTTTTTTTAGATATTGTCCTTACTTGTAGCTCTTTTACCTAAATTACTCTGACAGTGTAGTTAGGTGCTGATTACAGTTGATCGGACACCTGGATGTTCGGGTAAGGTAAAGTCCGGGTTCAGGCTCGAACTTGATCCCAAACTCGAATCCCATTGAAGTGAATGGGGACCCGAACTTTTGGCCACAAAAATGGACACGTGCCCTGCAAATAAATGTGTATAGGGAAATCACTTAAAATAACATAAAAATTAAAAATTCAACTGATCCATAAAATAGCACTAGATGAAATCTTTGATTTTAGCTTTGGAAGAACATAAATCAAAATCTAAAGCATGGCTGTCAGGAGGTTCAGCATAATGATCCATTTGAGAGAGGGATAGAGTGCAGGGTATTCTCTTTCATTGTTCAAACTGAGCTCAACTCCTGATGCATGGAGAAAAGGCCTTCACAAACACAAATCATTGTGTACAAATCTATTGTGTACATAGTTTATACTAAGTGACCCATAGGTTGAGGAGGCGGTGACCGTGGTGGTGTAGGTGGAAGCAGTGGTGGAGGAGGAGAATGAGGTAGCCAACACTGTTTTTTATGTTTTTTTATTTTTTTATTGTGGTAGCCCACAAAATATTGGGGCATACAACAAAAGAAACATTTGCGGCCTCTGGTGCATTTTTTGCAGTCCTGATGCATGGAGATATGCTCAACTCCTGATGCAAGGAGAAAAGGCCTTCACAAGCCTCTGCTAATGTGTACCTAGTTTATACTAAGTGACCCATAGGTTGAGAAGGCATTGACCATGGCCGTGGAGGAGGAAGATGAGGTAGCCAACACTGTTATTTATGTTTTTTTTGTTTTTTTTAATTGTGGTAGCTAACAAAATATTGGGACATACAACAAAGGAAACATTTGTGGCCTGCGGTGCATTTCTTGCAGTCCTAATTAAAGTATTTGGAAAATTGGGCAGACTAGATGGGCCGAATGGTTCTTATCCGCCATCACATTCTATGGATTTGATATATAATAGACAGGAAAAATACAATTATATCACAGAAATAAAATAACAAATAAATAAATGAGTAAAATTTTCTTTGTTATGACTAGAGTTGAACGGACACCTGGATGTTCGGGTCCGGCGGGTTCGGCCGAACTCTGAAAAAAAGTCTGGGTTCGTGATCGAAATTGACCCCGAACCCTATTGAAGTTAATGGGGACCCGAACTTTTGGCCAAAAAAATGCCTCTAAAAAAGTCCTGGAAAGGGCTAGAGGGCTGCAAAAGGAAGTAAAATGGGGCTAAGAGTAGGACAAGTGCTCTGCAAACAAATGTGGATAGGGAAATCACTTAAAATAACTAAAAAATACAGCTAAGCCATAAAATACTACTCAATGGAATCTTTGATTTTTAGCTTTGGAAGAACATAAATCAAAATCTAAAGCATGGCTGTCAGGAGGATCAACAGAATTATCCATTTGAGAGAGGATTGGAGTGCAAGGTATTCTCTTTCATTGTTCAAAAAATTTTTATTTTGTGTGATTTTTTGATCCTGAAGAAAGCCCACTGTGGGGCTGAAACAGTGATCATTTTTTAGTGAATTTCTAAATAAAGCATAATTTGAATTTTAAACAAGTCCGAGGAGTGCAGTCATCACTATTGGGAATCTATCTTTGAAAAAAAGTCCGGGTTCGTGATCAAACTTGACCCCGAACTCGACCCTGAACCCGAACCCCATTGAAGTTAATTTCTTGCAGTCCTCATGCATGGAGAAATGCTCAACTCCTAATGCATGGAGAAAAGGCCTTCACAAGCCTCTGCTATTGTGTACATAGGTTATACTGTGACCCATAGGTTGAGGAGGCGGTGACCGTGGCAGTGGAGGAAGAGGATGAGGTAGGCAACACTGTTTATATAAATATATATATATATATATATATATATTAATTGGGGTAGCCCCCAAAATATTGGGACATATAAAAAAAGACAACTCTGTTCCATGGAGTAGCTGTTGACATTATAGTTGCGCAGGAGCTTTGTTGACTCTAGAGAACCTCGGGCAAATCGCACATCCCCACGGCGATGTCATCCATATCAACATTCAATGCCAGATTCTGCGCCTACCATGGTGACCACGGGTAACGGGGAATCAGAGTTCCATTCCATACAGGGACCCTGAGAAACAGCTACCACATGCAATGAAGGCAGCAGGTGCGCAAATGACCCATTCCCGACGTGGGAAGGTAGTGACGTCAAATAACATTACAGGACTCTCTAGAAGCCCTGTAATTGTAATGAGTCCACTTGAAATCCTTTAACGCTGATCAATTGGAGGGAAGTCTGGTGCAGAGCCACTGACCTGTGCGTGGTGAAGCTGAAAGTCCACTATCGCCTGCTGCTGCTGCTCGCACAGTCTCATGAGGCAGAGAGCGGGAAGGCCGAAGTTACGCTTCAGTGCAGACAGGTAAGCAGCAGCAGGGTGACAATGCCAAAAACGGCACAGCCACTACAGTGAATGTCACATCCTGTTCCAAGTTGCGTATCAGTCTGGTGATGGCTTCTGGTAACAAGTACTCTTTTTACTGAAGCTGCATCAGGGTCCTGGTATGTGGCCGCACAAATGCTGGTGCTCAACACCAGGTGGCATGCAGTTACCCTGCACCAGACACGGCTAATCCATTCCACACTGTGACTCCTAACTTCAACATCAGGCATACTGGGTCCCGGTCGTCCGACCGCCGCACAGACAGTGTCTGGGTCCTGGTCACCGGACTGCCCACCTCACTGTCAAACTATGAATGGATCATTAAATCTGGTACGAAATCGAACTTTGCAGTTCGGGTTCGCTCAAGTCTATTATTGATCCTTTGATCGCTACATGTATTACTTGGATAAATGGTAATTCTCAAGCTAATACATGCCGACGATTGCTAGTGGATGGCAGCTCTGCTTTTGCACCCCCCTCCCTCTTATGCTGTGTTGGTGCCTCTGTGCGACCAGCACCTCTTCATCTAAACTGCACACATTACTCACATGACCTTGATTCCATGAGGGGTCTAGGACCTCATCATCCTCCACATCATCTTCCACCCACTCCTCAACCCTGTCCTCCTTGCCGGTATGCACACTGCAGAAAGCCACAGCAGTTGGCACCTGTGTTTTTTCAGCATGTAAAGTCTGCAAAGGACATATGGAAATTGTTTTAGAATTTCCTCCATACAGCAGTTTTCCCTATAAACTGACATCTCAGTTTGACTTGTGAGGGTATTGCCCCAGATTTAGAATATTGTTGAAGTACCTCTTAGCTATTGATCACTGGTTTAAATATAGCAGCTTGTTATCTGGTAGTTTCTAGTATAGAACATTTCAATCTGTTTTCTACCACTTAGATCTGTGTAACAAGTGTTGTAAGTGTGAAACAGTATTACAAGTGACCGATGTAGTAAATTCGAATCAAAGTTACGCTTCGATTTGACTCTCAGATATGAAGTGGACACCCCAAATATACTATTTAGCACCAGAAAAATATAAAATAAAAAAAATTTACTTTTTAAAACTCCAATGTAAGCAGCAGATTATCAGCAAAACAATTAGAATGTTTACAACTGCGCAGTAAGCGCACTATTAGATGCTTCAATTTGACTATCAGATATGAAGAGCAGGCCACAGATTAGGAGCAGATATGAAGTGCACCGTAGGCCGCAAATGTACTATTTAGCAGATTAGCAGCAAAACAATTAGAATGTTTACAACTGCGCAGTAAGCACACTATTAGACTTTTGACTCTCAGATATAAAGAGCAGGCCACAAAATTTACTGTTTAGCAAATTAGCACCCAGAAAATAAGAATGTTTACCACTGCCCTATAAGCATATAATGCACTATTAGACGCTTCTATTTGACTCTCAGATATGAAGTGCACGCTCCAAAATGTACTATTTAGCAGATTAGCACCCAGAAAATAAGAATGTTTACCACTGCGCTGTTAGCACACTATTAGATGCTTCGATTTGACTCTCAGATATGAAGAGCAGGCCACAAAATGTACTATTTAGCAGATTAGCACAGATCATCTTCCACCCACTCCTCAACACTGCCCTCCTTGCCGGTATGCACTAAAATACTATTTAGCAGTTTAGGACCCAAAAAAATGTAAGTTTTAAAACTGCAATGTGACAGCAGTATTTGACTCTCAGATATGAAGTGCACCCCACTAATGTAGTACCCCACTAATATACTATTTAGCACCCCAAAAAAATGTACTTTTTAAAACTCCGATATAACCGCAGTATTTGAAGCTTCTATTTGACTCTCAGATATGAAGTGAACCCAACCCCACTAATGTACTAGTTTGCAGAATTCTTTCCTAAGCTGTCCCTATTAGCGGCAGCATCCTCTCCCTACACTAATAAGACCGCATGTGTGTGCGGCGCTGCGCAACTCCAGCTTATATATAGAGGCTGGGTCACATGCTGCACTCGCCAATCACAGCCATGCCATTAGTAGGCATAGCTGTGATGGCTTCTAAAGGCACAAAAGTCAAGCATTTGTTGATTGGCTGCCCTGCAGCCTTTGAAAACGCGCTATTAAATCGCCGCGCACCGAACTCCAACCCAAACATACAGTAATATGTCCGTGTTCGGGCCCGGGGTCCAAAAAACTTAATGTTCAGTACGAACTCGAACTTTTGAGTTCGGGTTCGCTCAACTCTAGTGCTGATCTCTGTCTTCTGTGTCAGAGCAAATGTGGGAATATCTGATTGCCTGGCTGTAGATGATACCTTGTTTAATGTGATTGTGATGGGAGTTGCAATTGTGGAGGTAGCTGTACCTGTCTGTGGGTTTTCTGTACACAGATAAATGGAGAATGTCATTGGTGATAGTAATTGTGCAGTCCAAGAAACTCACACTATGATTTGAAAAGTTCATTATAAGGTCTATTGATGGGAGGAATTAATTGAATGATTTATGGAAGTCTATAAGGCTTTCTTCTACTTCTGTCCATATTATGAAAATATCATCAATGTAACGATACTATGTATATGGTTTGTGGGGCTGTGTACATAAAAATCTCTCTTTTCTAGGTCAGCCATGAAAAGATGAGTGTATTGAGGTGACATTTCTGTGCCCATCAGTGGGTAGATTATGGCTCCAATGTAGTGTGCAAGTAACTTAGCTCTGTGTATAATGCTCAGTAATGAATATGGTGGTAAGTCTTCATCTAAGGTGAAATAATGACGTCCCAATGAGAGATGAAGGACATCACACATATACGTTTGTATAAGGCCCTCACTAGGCCTTCCATAACATGTGCTTTATACGGCCCTCAGTGGGCAACCTACTATGACCACCATTTTAGGACATATATGTGTGTTGTCATCAGTGGTACCACATTACTCAAATGCCTCATCATTACCATCTCTAATTAATAGTGCTGCCATTATGGGCTTCTCAAGGGTCAGGTTAATTATATTCATGTTATGAAATTGAGCAGGTCCAACATTTTGCTTTACTATGTATGAATTGCAACAGATCTACAGCTCAACAACCATTAATCAACCCATGTCCTATCATGTCAAACATCCAATAATTTGCATACTGCCCTTATATGGCTACCCCGCTACTCACGAATTGCAATGAGCTCTCTCAGCCTTCTACTCCTCTACCTGGACACACAGGCCTAACTAGGCTTTCACTACATAAGTTTCATGCTGCTTGAGGTTATATATTGTCCTATTGTACTACATTAAGTAAACCACTCAGTGTAAAAAAAAAAAAAAAATAATATATGCAATACCTCTACACACGGCCCTCACTAGACCTTCACTCCATACTCCAGATGACATGCAAATCTACCTGTCCTCCTCTGATTTCTCACCACCTTTTTGACTCGTGTCTCTGACTGACTCTCTGCTATTTCCAACTAGATGGCTTCTCATTTCCTTACACTTAACTTGTCCAAAACTGAACTTCTGGTTGTCCATCCCTCAAGAGTTGCTACTTCCTTGTCTGTTTCCCTCCATGTCAACTGTGCTACCCTCAGCTCTACATCGCAGGCTTTCTGCCTAAGTGTTCTCTTTGACTCCGACCTCTCCTTTACCCCTTATCAATAGCCAAATCCTGCCACTTTCATCTCAAAAATAGAGCACAACCAACCCTATTTAACATGTGATGCGGCTATGGTGCTTGACAATGCTGTTGTCCACTCTTGCCTTGTCTACTGCAAACTGATTCTCAGTGCTCTTATTTTTGCCCCTTTACAGTCTGATGAATGCAATGGCGAGACTCATATTCCTGTCCTTCCACACCTCCCACACCTCTCCCCTCTGCCAGTCCCTACATTGGCTTCCCATAAGATATAGGGCTCAATTTAAGATCCTGATACTTGCTTACAAATCTCTATACAATGATGCTCCTACCTATCCTCACTAATACACACTAATATGTCCCTATGCTCTGCCGAAGACCTACTTCTATCCTCTGTTTGTCCACCTACCTCTGATTCTCACTTTAAAGACTTCTCTAGGGCTGCACCACTCCTATGGAATGCCCTTCCCCTCTCTGTTATCCTTTCACCCGATCTACACTTCTTAAAGAAATATTTGAAAACGTACTTCTTCAGGAATGCATATCAATTAAACTGCCAACAACTGTCAACAGCTTTCCCTCCCCGCACCCTGAATCCTCTCCTGCAACTGTCATCAAAACAGAACACTAAGCCCTCAATGAATACTATCCTACCAACCTACAATTCTACCCTTATTTTTTGTTTCACTACCCCCACTCCCTCTAGCATGTAAGCTCATTGAGCTGGGCCCTCAACCCCTCTGTTCCTGTGTGTGCAACTCATATGGTTAAAAATACTTGTCTGTTAGTCCACCCATTGTACAGCGCAGCGGAATTTGTTGACGCTTTGTAAATAATAATAATAACTTTATTGTTTGATGATAAACTACATTAATCCTCTTATAGACATATATTCAACCCTATCATATTTTTATTCTGCATATGAATATCTACACATTCATTGAGAGTTTGAGGGCATCATGCCATATTTTGAATTATGAATAAATTCACAGCCACAAAGTCTATCAAGAACTAACATAAAAACGCAATATATTGTATATTGTTTACATGGATTCCCCTATAGATTTGTATTTTATCTGCCTTTGTATTTATAATGTATATTGGACTTTTATTTTATATTAAAAGCACTTTCTTTTAAATGTAAAAAATATTCACAGAAGATGTAAACACACATGCACCTTTTAATAGATTTTTCAATCAATATACATATAATGGAGATTGAAAAGCCGTATGTTTGCACTTTTGCAAGATGTTCTAAATGTTTACAAAGTTTTTCTT